AAAACATCACTTCGTCCAGCCTTGGAACAGACAACCGCCGCGCATTCGCACTTTTGCTTCGCGGTGGGAAATCACTGGAGGTAGTTTGTGAGACTGACGGCGACTGCGAGGCTTGGCTTGTTGCTCTCAAGCGTCTACTGCATTTGAGGACTCCTGCGGAAAGGCTTCTTGAGGAGCGACGGGGTACGTGAAGAGACGCACGTGCGCAGCCGAGCGATAATGACGTGGAAATTCGGTGGGGTGGCCCATCTGACATTCGCAATATGGAGGATTTGTTTTGTTGGCCCCCGATGCAGCAGCTCTTTGCGGCGAGGATCACATTCCGCCAGCCCTCTTCCTTCGGGTGGAACAGGAGCTGGCTGAAAAGCCTGAAAGGAGCACAATAACCGCCTGTGGTGTCCGAGTTTGCTCGGGCCTGGATCTCTTTTGCTCTGGCCGACTTTACGACTAATTGTGCGAAAAGCGTGTCGTTCCGCCTCCGTACTAATGTCGTGGGATCTTTTATTGTTTTTCTCTTTTTTTTTTCCCATGGCTATTTGTGGTTTTCTTGTGTGCTCTTTTAGATGTATTGAGGCGGCTGGTTGGAGAGAGGCTAGCTGCCTCACAATCTTGTGTGAAAAGGACTTTTGAACCCCACGTGTTTGGGTTATTAGCGAGTGAAGGGAAGAAAAAAGGGAAATGATGGTCACCACCAGTACTACTGCTGCTGCTTTTTTCCTGTTCTTTGCTGCCGGGTTTAAGTGGGCTATCCATCATTTCTTGTGGGTGTTCCACACCCTTCTTCTCTTTCCTCTGATTCTGGATGCGTTTTTTTAGCACCGCCGTTGTGGGGCCATTGCTTTGCCAACATGCATACGGGGGTGGTGCTCCTTCCCATAGATGTGCCGTGAAAAAATATTAATATATTTTCAAATGCGCCGTGTGCTTCTCTGTGTGCGTGTAATGTGGGGCTTAGGCCTCACCCAGGCAGGGGCAATGACACCTTTGCACCATTGCGAGGCGGCCGTCGAGGCGGTGCACTAGCACAACAAACTGTGCGTTCCATATCACACAGAGTATTCGCTACTGTGGGAATCGAACACTTGTTTTTTGGTGAAACTACCAGGGCTTATCCACTGGGTGCGGTGCGTTGATTCGGCAAAGGGAACAGAAGGACGTCCTCTATGAGGTGTGCCTATGGAGGGAGAACTGAACTGCTACCTTGGTGGCTATAAAATATTGGTATTTATCTGAAACGAGAGGGCGCATCGCTGTCCATGACGAGACTTTATTCATACGGACGTGATGCGGCGGGTGGAGGAGGCCAACGGGCATGAGCAATACGAGAGCGATGCCATTGTTGGCTGTTGAGATGATTTGAGCAGTGATGATGATAATGATGGGGCGAACACTCTCAGGTAGGAACGCTCTTCTCGCTGTCAAGGTATCAAAGTTGCACGGTAATGTGCCGCAGGTTGACCGGCCCTCTTTTTGTGAGGTTTTCCGACACGTCGGTGGAGCTGCTCGGCGTTCTCCAAAAGGGTGTTCTGTTCTGCACAGATGTGGCTGCCCGAGGATTGTATCTGCCACGGGCGGACTGAAGTGTGCACGACGATCCTCCGACAGATCCAGCGTGTTGTATTCACCGCACTGGACGGTCAATCCCGCATTGGCAACGTTGGGGACTCTCTGCTGTTCCTCATGCCACACGAGGCAGGATGCATCCCATGCGTGAGGACCCTTTATCGTCAAAGAGAGAGGGATCAGTGGCTCTTTACGGGAAATGAGGCGGCAGCAGCAGCAAATGGAAGAATGATAATACGACTCGTCTCTTTCCACCACCTGACGACGTTGGACCCAAAAAGGGAACCACATGTGAATGCAACGCACAGCCACTTACGTGTGCACTGTTATTCGACTTGTCGTGAAGCGGGATGGAGCCGTCAACGACTCACCTGGCGGAGATGCGAGCTGGAACGATGATCTCGCCCGACTCGCACCGTGTGTGTTCCCATCGTACATGCAGGCGCACGCAGGGCACTCCAGAGAGCCTATAAACCGTTTTTTAAATTTGTGTACGCTCACATTGGTTACGTCGCACACGGTTTCCTTCTTGGCAAGAGACCCGGTGATGTTTGGGCACAACTGCAGAGCTTTATTGGGGAGGACGCGAAGACCGCGAGAGAGGCGTCTTCTCTCGACACACAGGAGGGAGGAAGAGGGTGCGAGGGCTTTCGAGGTTGGATGCGACTGCAGTTGGAGGCGCGTCACGATGATTGGCTGCGAAGCGTGATTCTGCGGAGGCAGCGCCGTGTGACGTGTAGTACTGCTGGGAGGGGAGTTGAACGGAGGCTGGCACGGAGTGAAGAGAGAAGTGACACACCCAGGAAGCAAGAGGCCAATGTTGCAGTGACGTTGGTGAAGTGTTTTCCATGGGATGAGCTGAGAGGTTTCTCCCATGGCGCTTAGCTGTGCCCGCGCCAGCCCGTGTTTTTTTATCTTTTTGACTTCACAGAGTGTCCAGGCTCTTGATTTTCGCTTGCTTGGCGCTCTTCCACCATGGGGGTCAACGAGCCACGGCGACCTATCGGGATGCCAAACCCACGGGAATCGTGGGCTTCAGCGTGGTCAATCTGGATCAGTGAGCGGAGACCTGCGGCAACTCATTCTGCGGCGAGTATCTCACGCACTGTCACGGGTGTCGGCGCCAGTGTGTGTCTGCCCGACGACCGGCATTTGTATGGCGTACGCCCTTTGCAAGGCTGAGGGAAAGGGCGGGAATTCCCACGGGCACATGTCTGCAGTCATAATGTGTAAATTGTGGACTTGTTTGTGCGGCAAGGCAGCAAGGTCGCTCAGGGGATGCAGCATAGACTGGGAGTACACTTTCTAGCGGCGTGTGCTTGGTGACTACCGAGGCGATGCCCCCAAAGGGACGTATGTGGGTGATGCAGATGCACTGGATATGCGCAATGCCATGCTTCGTGACAGGGAGCGAGGGAGGAGTGGCGTGATTCCTCCTGCCATAGACCCATCAATTTTTGAGGAGTTGGAGTGAGGCCAAGGGGACAAGCGTGTGTATCTTCACCTTCTTGCGGGAGGACGCGCAGACGTTGGATTTCTTTGTTACTTTGTTGTCACTGTGTCTGCGGCGACGTTATTTGTTTTTTTTCTCCAGAGGCATTCATTGTGCGATTTGCGCGTGTTTGGTTTCCAACGTTTTCAGCACCACCGAATAGGATGTTGCGCAGGATCGGAATACATGGATGTGCGAGAGCATCGCATCGCTTGCCCGTAATAACACACACGCACACGGTTTCAGTGAGTCTGACACGTCACGTTCTTCAGACCGTCCAAAATCACTTGTGGGACGTCACTTCATTTGCGGCGTCGGGAAAGTGAAGGAAATGGAAAGATATGCCGAGAACGCAATGCCACTCCATAATACCGCGGGCTGGCGGCGACAAGGATCAGAGAGCTTCTACTTAACATTGAGAAGAGGGCAGCGCTCTGATGATCCGGTTTGATCTTTAGGAGCCTCTAATGTAGTGTACACCGTGTGGGCCTTTTTGCTGCGGATATGCAGAGGGGTGATGTGGGGTGGAATTATTGTTGAGGGCAGCACGGACACCGCCTGACCTTTACGGGAGGGAATGCGTGGTGTTATTCCGTGCTTCCTGGCCTGCGTTGTCGCACTCATGCTGTGTGTGCAGATGGCCACGGTAGTGGAGCTGAATACGATTCAACCTGTGTTTGCTCACGGGGACTACGCAACACATGTATTCCTTTGGTTTCCCAAAGGAGGGGCGCATCGCCGTTGCGTGATTCCCGCGGCAGTTCATTACCCTGCGACTGTGCGTGCCACCGTCCGCTGCGCCACTGCAAGTCCTCGCCTTTGTGAGAAATGGGGAGCGTGACTGCTGTGGCGGTGGTCGAATGTTCCCGAATTGGTGCTTTTGGTGATCCCACTTAGAGCGCCGAGCAGCGAGGGGCCGCACATGCCCAGGAGGTGGGAGTGTGTGCTGCAACCGCACTTGCGATTTGCATTTGGGATGTGACATGTTTCTTTGGTATTTTTATTTTTGGTGATGTGCGGGGCAGCGGTGTGTTGGCGTGTGCGGGCTGCTCATGGCTGCTGGTGTTGTCTTTCCTGCTGTTCTCCCACTCAACTCCTTTGCGTGCGACAGACCAAACGTTCTTACGGGCGTGTGGTGGGGCCGCGTTCTTGTTTGGAAAAAAAGCCTTCCGCAGGCATAATGAGACTGCCGTCCGTGCCACACGAGGCAGTGGGGAATTTCCTGGGATTTATTGGCGGGGTGGCACCGCACCCATGCGGTGTGGTTGATTTGTATTCCGCAATGCACGGTGAGGGGGATGTGCGGTGACAACTTCCTCCAGTGGAGCGGCACGAGCAGCACGGGGAGCGGAACGGAGGAGTGGTGGCTGCGTGCTTCCCAGTGATACGTGAATGGCGAATGCAATATGAAAGGCAGCATCACGGCACTCTTTTGCCATGCACACCACAAATATTTTCCATAAAGCATGCAAATTGTAATCTTTTCTTTTGTGTGGGGGATTACCGTGAGGCATCGCTGTTGTGGTGTGTATGATTTGTGCTCCCTGCATGTGGCCGCTTCTGCACCGAATTCTCCTCCCACTTTTTTGTGCTTCTTTCAGGGTTTATGTGCCCACGTCCTCCTGCAGAGTGTGTGCGGTGACGGCGGTGCCACACGGGTGCGGGACCGTGGCGAGCGGTATGCGTGGACGAACCCTCCGTGCACACCACGTTGTTATTATTGTTGGCTCTCTCCAACACTGTGCTGGGTGGTTGGCACCCACTTGCCGTCGTTGCGGCGGTCCTCGTGCATGTGGTGTGCGTCGCACACTGTGTGGATGACTCTCTTGCTGTGGCTGCCCGTCATGTCTGTGCCTAGTTACCCCATCTCTCTCTTATTCTCTTCCTGTTTGGTGGTTAGTGTTCAGCTTTAACTCTATCCAACTAAAAAGAACAGAAGGAAGCAATGCCTGGAAATCAAGCGTCTGCTGTGCCGCAGGGATATATTCGGAGGAGAGCGAAGCCGGAGTCTGAGGGTGACACAGATCAACCCGCTGCGACTCGCGGAAGAGTGGAGGAGGTGCGGCAATTAATGTGGGCTATTGACAGTCAGGTGGAAGAATGCGGGCTGCGGAAAGGCCACGAGTCTGCGTACGATGCGAGGTGGCATCATGTCATGGAAGTTCCTGGCGGCGAGGGGACGGGAATGGAGGTGCATGAGGGGGAACCACCGCAGTCATGGACGTACAAGGCGGTTGGCCGAACCCTCGAAAGGGATGACGGTGTGGAGCAATCCGGTGCACCACGCCTCAGGCTGATGGTGCTTACCTCGGAGAAGGCATGGCATTTCTTGGGCAGGGAAGCAAGTACCGACTGCTATGTGAACTGTGAGGTGGAGCGAGTGTGGCAGATCGTCAAGGGCGATCTCACCGAGTTGTTCAGCAGTCGTCCTGAGGACCACTTTACGCCTCATCCGCGTTTGTTGACTGGGACGCCCGGTATCGGGAAATCGATGGCTGCCGGTTCGTACCTCCTCTACCAGCTGCTGCACTACGATGCGGAGCTGCTCCCTGTGGTTGTGTTCTTTTTTTGTGCAGGTAAGGCATACGTGTTTAACAAGACCACCGAGACGGTGACATTATACGCGGATAAGTCCAGTATCAAAGCTGTGAAGGAACTGTCTCGGCGCGGGATGAAGGGGTATATTATCTACGACGTGATAGGCAGGTTTGATATTCCGTCTCCTTGTTTGCCTCCCGGAGGCTGGGGCATGCTTGTGGTGGCAACGCCAGAGACAACAAGTTACATACACTGGGCGAGTGAAAAGAGAGCCGTACGAATCGTAATGAATTGCCCTGATGAGAGCGACGTGAAGGCAATGTGCGTTTGGAAGAGGCGCAATCAACCCATGCAGCAGCAAGCGGAATACTGGCGAGAGGTGAAGGGTCGCATGAACAAACTGGGACCTATTCTTCGCTACATCTTTGATGAGGGAAGTTATAACCATTGGATTGGAGATTGCCACAGCTTTGTGGATTGGACGACCTCTCGGGAAATCGAGCGTTACTTTGCTTTTGGAACTTCCAAAATGTGGGAGGGTAATAAGGCGCTTGAATATCTTGCGAGGATTGTCCGAGTACGAGGAGAGCGCAATGGCGAGTCGCCTTTCAATGTACCGATAACTGACCACCTCGCAAGTAAAACATTGTGCAAGTTGAAAACGTTAATGACGCAGGCTGAGTTTAACTTATTTGTATCGAGGATCAGGGATTATCTCATGCACGCAAATTTTGGGAGGTGTGCCATGTTTGCATTTTTGAATGTGGCCTTCATGGCTGCAATAAGACGTAAACTGAAGGAGCTGAAGCCCCCAACACGACGTCCGTCACACCGCTGTGCGCCGGAAGTGTACTCACAGGAGGGCCCCACCAGCCACTATTTTTTGCCGTCGGTGGAACGCATTGACAAGAAGACTTGTATAAACCACCGGCTGCTGTACATACCGGAGGTCGAGAAATTTCCGCTGGTGGACGGCTTTTTCTTTATGAAGTCCAATCCAATGACGCTGGTCGGGCTGCGGATGGCTACGGCGGGTGGACAACACACCACCGCCAGCACTGTGAGGCAGTTCACTGAGTGCCTGGCGGCATATTTTAATGGCTGGGAGGAGTTATCCCGAGACATGTCGTGGGAGATTATTTATGTGCAGCACGCGGACAGCACGCCGTTGAATGACTGGCAGAGATGTGATGTCGACAATTCCAATAATTTGACCGAGGAGGGCCGTGAGATTGCGGCGTTCTGGAACGAAAAGGTGCGCCAGTACCAAGTGTTAATATCGTACAGAGACTTTAGAAGAGACGAAGCTCTCCGAAGTGTGCAAAAAAATAATGGTAATAGGAAAACAATTAGGGAGGGAAAGGGGTAGTTTTGACTTTTGGTGAAAAAATATTGCGGGAATTATGTATTTTTGGATGCTTGTGTCTGAGCATGCGGTGCGGGCGCACCAGCACCATGCGGCGGCATCGCACACGAATGCCCAAAATTTCCAACGCTATCGAACTTAACAGTGGCAGAAGAAATTGGGGAGGGAAAAGGGTTGTTTGGTTCCTGGTGAAAAACATTGGGTGGTTTTCATATAGTATGTTGATTGTGTGTGCATACGAGGCATAATTGGAGAATTGCCCCGATATGAGGGAATCATTGTGTTTGGCGCTGTCGCAGTACTACTGCATTGCCCATTTTCTTCTATTGTGTTCTAAGGCCCATCAATAACAGAGGCATCTTTAGGGGATGTACGACGAATAAGTTCTATTGAGGAACCAGTGCACTCCGTATGACCGCATGGAGTGAGGCATCGCGTCATGGGTGGATGAGGATCCGTTTCCGCGTGTGGCACTTTGAGAGCTCAATTCGTGCGTTGTCTGTTGGCTGCGGGGCTGTGGCCGTATCCCGTTGGCCGTGGGATTGAACTGGAGGCGGTGGCGGTGTGTTCTTCTCTTCCCCGTCCATTCTGGTTGATTGCTTGCGGCGTGTGCGTTTGTTGTGTGGAGGCCGTCTTGCAGTTTATGCAGACAGTGAGGCACAACTGCTGTGAAAGGCCGCGTCTTCTCAGTATGAACTTATTGCCGTTACGCGGTGTGTTTGACCATATCTCTCATTATGTGCATGAGCGCCTTGCGTGTTTTACCGGAGCGTTGGGTGCGACCATCTGCCATGGCGACAATTTGTATGGTTGAGCGTGCGTGCGGGTTAGGGTTAGGGGTTAGGGTTAGGGTTAGGGTTAGGGTTAGGGTTAGGGTTAGGGTTAGGGTTAGGGTTAGGGTTAGGGTTAGGGTTAGGGTTAGGGTTAGGGTTAGGGTTAGGGTTAGGGTTAGGGTTAGGGTTAGGGTTAGGGTTAGGGTTAGGGTTAGGGTTAGGGTTAGGGTTAGGGTTAGGGTTAGGGTTAGGGTTAGGGTTAGGGTTAGGGTTAGGGTTAGGGTTAGGGTTAGGGTTAGGGTTAGGGTTAGGGTTAGGGTTAGGGTTAGGGTTAGGGTTAGGGTTAGGGTTAGGGTTAGGGTTAGGGTTAGGGTTAGGGTTAGGGTTAGGGTTAGGGTTAGGGTTAGGGTTAGGGTTAGGGTTAGGGTTAGGGTTAGGGTTAGGGTTAGGGTTAGGGTTAGGGTTAGGGTTAGGGTTAGGGTTAGGGTTAGGGTTAGGGTTAGGGTTAGGGTTAGGGTTAGGGTTAGGGTTAGGGTTAGGGTTAGGGTTAGGGTTAGGGTTAGGGTTAGGGTTAGGGTTAGGGT